CAAAATAGGGGCGAGACCGGTAGGGGCGTGTTTGTTTTGGTGATTTGAAATATCAACATTGGCTACCAGAAATCACTTACCCCACCTTTAATAGTAGTTTTTTTTTAAATTTTATTTTAAATGCTATTTTGCTTTGATTTTGAAAATCCCATAATTAGGACCTTTTATATTTTTGCATTTTGACAATTAAGAACAGTTTTCCCCAAATTTCTCCCAATTCTTTTATATTAAAGACATTTTCTCACTAAATTTTAATTATAATTAAACTTTCTCATTTCTAAAAAAAATTGTTGATGCATTCTTTCAACAATAAATAGAATTTTTGTAAATTTGAAATTGTATTTTGTTTTGTTTTTGAAAATCTAATTATTAACACCATTTATATATTGCCATTCTGACAATTAAGAACTTTTTCCCCCAAATTGTGATATTAACATTTTCTTTTAACAATAATTAAATAGTAGGATTTAAATCTCATAAGGACACATTATATTTTGGTATTTTGACAATTAAGAACAAATTTCCCACAATCATAATGCCAAAAAAAAAGGGTACTGGAAAAATATGTAAATTGTAAAGTACATAATATACTATGATATTTATTATACTGCCTTTATGCTTATTTAAATAAAAATAAAAAAGACCTCTTTATACAGTAAAACAATAACGTATTACAGTTATGAATAATAAGAATAAAAATGTAAAAGTCTGGAAAATGTCTTGCTGTAATGAGAATTTGGGGGTAAAATGTGCTTAATTGTCATGAAAATAATGTCTTAAAATATGCTTTATTTTCTTTAAGAAAAATAGTTTTCTTAGCTTTTTTGGGGTGAAATATGACCCAAACATGTTTTTTTTGTGGGATTCACTCATTGTGTCTGTTCCAGCCGGCACGAGAGGACGGTTTTGTGCGATTGCCGTGTTGAACTGGAGAATCTGCACGTTAAACTCATCACTATGACATGTTCAGACACTAAAGTTGTGCTTTTTATACGTCAGTAGAGATGGACTGAGAGTGTCGTGTGTGTAGACGTTTATTGTTCAGTTGAGGTTCTTCAGCACAGGAAACATGACAGTGTTATATTCGTATCTAAATGAGTGTGTGTTCAATCTGTGTGCATCTGGCCTCAGCAATGTACAAGTTACACTTCACGTGTACGACTAACTAACTAACCAACTGCTGATGCAGTGTGAGACCATTTGAGGTGCCTTTTTCTGGTAATTGCCAAATCATTGCCGGCTCATTTTAGAAGAGCACAAGCATTTAGTGATGTTTCAGACTAGTTGTTCCCCTTCACATACGCATTAATTGTACTAAAATGTAATATGGTGATTAATAAATATTTGGCATTAACAAAACATGCCTTTCATTGGTTTTTAACCAATAACCTGCACCATGTGATCAAATGAGTAGTTGATGTCAAAATCAAATTACAGCTGCAGAATCTATCAATTTCTGCATTTTATACAGATATAAAAGCATTTTGTCAAAAGGTTTATATTAGCTGGCAAACTACTCAACTGTTAATAAGAATAAGAATAAAATACAATTCATTTATGAAATATGCTAGGGTGAAATATGTTAGGATAGCTTCAAATAGGACTAAGCAGTGACCTTGAAATTTAGGAAATTGTAAGTTGTTCTCTAATTTTGATCTCCACTGTATTAATTTAACAATTAATGTACTGAAAAAAAAGTTTTCTTTTTCTTATTTTGGAAAAGTTTCCTATTTTGAGGACATTTAAGATTTTTTTGCAGTGATATTTTAATTTTCTCCCTGAATTCTTATGAGAACTAAATGTTCTCATGTGTGACCCTGGAGCACAAATCCAGTCATAAGGGTCAGTTTTTTGAAATTGAGATTTATACATCGTCTGAAAGCTGAATAAATAAGCTCTCCATTGATGTATGGTTTTGTTAGGATAGGACAATATTTGGTCGAGATACAACTATTTGAAAATCTGGAATCTGAGGGTGCAAAAAACATCTAAATATTGAGAAAATCATCTTTAAAGTTGTTCAAATTAAGTTCTTAGCAATGCATATTACTAATCAAAAATTAAGTTTTAATATATGTACGGTAGGAAATTAACAAAATATCTTCATGGAACATGATCTTTACTTAATATCCTAATGATTTTTGGCTTAAAAGAAAAATCGATAATTTTGACCCATACAATGTATTTTTGGCTATTGCTACAAATATACCCCAGCGACTTAAGACTCGGCGACTTACTTATGCTCCAGGGTCACATATATATAAAAAAAACATAATAAAACATGTTGATGCATTCTTTTGACAATAATTAAATTATTGGATTTATGTAATTATATAGTATTTTAATAAAAAAATACATTTGTTAATTACTTGTGCAATTTTGTGGTCAAAATGAGCTGAAAACATGTTTAAGCACCTAACCTTTATAAACAAAATCAGAACAAGAGACTTTATGAAGCAGAGTGTTAGTATTAATGAAACAATATTACATGTTCAATATTCATCAAAATCATTTCACACATGCAGTGAGACAGGAGTCCTCGTGCACGTCTGATTCTGAAGGACTTTATAATCTCGACCGTGTCGTTCAGGATGACAGTCACGGTTCAAAGTGTCCAGACGTCAAGATTTCCTCAACATCTCAATCCAGTCCCCATGTCTCTCAGGCTCTTATGCTGTTAGGACTTTCCAGCCTTCTTTTCACGCTTCTTCCTCGTGTAGCGAAAACTCTTCAGTGGATTTTTGCCTCTGGAATTCTTCTGCAAACACAACACAAATAAAAACAGCATTCATTCAGAGCGCCATCAGAGGATCTGTTTTTATGTTTTTAAGTTATTATTGTTAACTAAAACCATAAAAATGACTTGTAATAAACGTTAACTGAAATAAAATATATAAAAACTTACATTTATTTCATTTATTTCTAATTTTTGTTTAAAGTTTAAGTACTAAAATAATAAATAAACAAGAATATAAATTAATAAATACAAACTAATATAAATGACAACACAACAAAATTAATAAAACAATCTTAAAATTATTTTATTGATTTCTCATTTTTGTTTAAAGTTTAATTACTAAAATAATAAAATAAATAATAATAAATAAACTAGAATAAAAATTAATAAATACAAACTAATATAAATGACAACACAACAAAATTAATAAAATACAAAAAACTAATTCAATAATAACAAAAAACACTATATCAATAATACTAAAATCACATTGCTGCTCAACTCTATTAACCAATATGCCATTATTACATCAATATGAACATAAAATGCTGAACAAAACTTATTCATTTTTAAAATTTTAAAGTAAATGAACGATTTGTATTCTAACCTTAAAGCCAGTTAAGATCAATCTTAGCTAGTCTATAAAATAAAAAATAGAATTTTTTAAAATTGAAATGAAGCTGAAATAAAATAAAATATAAAATTTACATGAAAACTTAAAACTAGAATGAAAACTAAAATTGATAAAAAAAAAATCAATTACAAAACATATTACAATTTACAGTTATAAAAAAATTACGTAAAAAATTAGTAAATGACGGATCTCACCTTAAAGCTGCTCAGCATCACGCCGCCTGCTTTATTCTTCTTTTTCTTCCGTCGTTTCAGAGGATTGACGAGACTTTTCAGCGCCGTCGGGACTGAAACAGACATGAAAATGCGTTTTAACTAGGGATGTAACGATTCACTCAACTCACGATTCGATTCACAATTTTTTTGAACAAAATTAGATTTAAGACAAATTATAAATTAAATGTGTCCTTTTATTATTGCTTGGACAAAATACTGTACGTTTCTTTGTGAAATTGAAATATAGACTAACGCTATAATAATATACTAATATAGCACTTGCATATTGTTGCTCTTTTAGTTCCCCTCAGACATACAATCATATGAACTCCTACCCCTAATTGAATCGCGATTTGTTTAGCATCTCAACCGATTTGAATCGTCACATATTTGAATCGATTTTCAACCGGATCGCGGTTAATCGTTACATC